GGAGTGGGGTGCACACACGTGGCCACGCACACATGCATGGGGGTTGCACACGGGGTCGTGTGCATATGCGCGCAGGCTCACATGTGCATGCGTGGGAGCATGCAGGTGTGTGCGCAGGGGCATGGGGCAGGCAGGAGGGGTCACAAATGCAGGCACGGAGAGACAGATGCACATTGCATTATGGGAGTGTGCATGGATGTTTCCGGCACTCCATGCTGAAAACGTTAGCAATCACTGTCCCAGAGCTTTAATTTTCTTCCAGCAGGGTTATCCCTGTTCTTGACATGATAGCGGCATTCCAACATTTGCAGGGCAGCCACAAAGAAGAGAGCTCAATTTATTTTCCAAAGCACCTGAAGGCAAGGCAAGAAACAATGGAAGAGAAAAACTAATGGAGAGAAGCAACCTAGAACTAAGGAGAATTTTCCTAAGAGTGAGGACAATTAACCAGTGGTACAGTTTGCCTCCAGAGGTTGTGGCTGCTTCATCACTGCAGGCTTTTAAGAAGAGCCTGGACAGCCACTTGTCTGGAATGGCATAGAGTCTCCTGCTTGAGCAGGAGGTTGGACTAGAAGACCACCGAGGTCCCTTCCAATCCTGTTATTCTGTTATTCTGTCCTGTGTGCATAATAGCTGCAGCTGTTGAAGAATGCTAGGAAACAGTCATCTTTAGGTGGATGGCAGTGTGTTGACTTTGGAGAATGCCACAGTGCCTGCCAGCCAATTGACTTTGTGCTCGTCTGTCGCCTTAGCTGTATCTGCTGGAGCTTGCCTTTGTCCGTTGCATCCCCTGAGGGTTTTGTCTGGGGATGCTAGAAAAATTCTTGGCTCCAGTCACAGATGCTCCCGGTCCCTCATCAGAGCATGGGATCCTTTAAGGAGCCTTTGGCTGCAGCCTTGGACTATTTTCAATGCTTTAGGCTGGAGGTGTCAGTGGGGCTGTGCTCATAAGGAAGGAGTGTCTCCCTTCCAAACCCCATTTTGAGCTGTGGTTTTGGTTTCCATGGTGACACTTCCTGTGGTAGAGAAAAGAGGTAGTGAATGCTGCACTGTGAGCGTGGCAAGCAGCTCCACTCCTTCTTTCTCTCCTAGCCGGGGATGCTTTGAAGGCCGGCTGCAGCCTCAGGGAGGGGCTGCTCCCAGCCTGATGGTCCTGGGTTTTAAAGTCTACCTGTGACAACTGCAGGAGAGGCATGCTGGGAAAACCCAAACATCTGGGTGTCCAAAATGGCCGAATGGTGAGTGAACATACTTCAGCTGCTACTGGGGGAAGGCAAGGCCAGCAGCTGCAAAGGAGCGGCTTGTCTTCCTGATGAAAAGGGCTCCTTCCTAAAATCTGATCCTGGCATTTGGGGGCTCTTTCCTTCCGGGGGGGAAGCATAAGTGACCTTCCCTGGTTTTCATGCCCCCCCAAAGCCGTAGGTAGTTTGGTGAGAGAGGGATTTAGCTCGGCTCTACGCACTACTGCAGCGGTAGGGTGGTTGGGATGTTCTTGTGGGTTCTGCCTTGTGATCTTGCCCTCTTCTTTGTAAACTATCTGAGAGAGGAAGGGCTCTTTCCAAGTAAAACCTAAGCAGCTGTTGCTTTGCTGTAGCTGGGGGCATGTTTTTGCACGTTGAAGGGTTGCTGTGAAATCACAGTGCCTTTCAAACCCGCCAGGTTATACTGCACAATCGGCTGTGGAAACTGAACGGGCAGGCATGAGTCTGTTATCAGGTTGCACAACTGAGCATGACTGGCAGCCACAAACACAAAAGGAATGAATATAATGAAATGATTAGATGTATCGACCTCATGGAATGCAGGAGCCATTCGCTGTCAACAAAAGCTGCTGCAGCTTATGTTGACTTGTGTGTGTGTGTGTGTGTGTGTGTGGGACCTTGTGCAGCGATGACTCTTTTTAGAAAGAAATTACTCTAACCTCATGAAATCAGGTTCCTATTTGGAAAATGGTCCGGTATTGCCTCCTGCTTTGCTAAATAGGAAGAAGCACGAACAATAATGTCTTCATAGGGTTATCTTTACAGAAATCTCTCTGGCCCCCGCACAGATTTAGTGGACTGAGATCGAAATAAGAAGTTCTGAAATATAGTTTGTCCATGATCATTAGCGTTCAGACAGATTTAGACCAGTTTTGGCAATGGCAGCTTTTGGGTTTCGATGGAAGTATAACTGTTTATATTCTAGTTTGGATTCCTTGGTATTGACAAGCGTAACCACTAGGCCTACTTACTGCAGCCTATTTGGGCTGCAGAAATCCGGAAGACCACTTGATTTCGACAAGGGATTAGTATTTTCTGCATTTCTTCACTATTATTTACTGTCAATTCAAACCTTTGCAATCTAGATACTAGTCCCATCTATGCAACTTTCATTAATCATTTTAGAACCAGAAATGTCTCAACAGAAATCTGACTATTGGGAGTCGTGATAACTTGCGAAATTCTGTCAGCAACACTGGTAACAAACCAGAATGTTTTTATCCTGAGTCAGGGGTGGGGGACCTATGTCTCTAGTCTAGGTTTTGGGTAACTCTCTGCATAATATGATTCTGTGCTCCTTCTATTTCCATTTGTCCATGAGAATACATAGGCAGTGACCAGTAAAAGAGGATTGCTCAAAAACAAAATAAAGAAAAATCTATTGGAATAGCAGTTAAACGTTATTGTAGAACGTTAAAAAAATAAAACAATATGTTATAATCCGGAATGATTAAAGCATAGCAAACGAGACAGTTCACTTTAAAGCAGGAGTCGTAAATTCCAATCCTCAGAAGTGCCACACGAGAATTACTTCATTTGCCCAACACGGAAGCCTTTTTATACACTGATTTCTAGTCAAAAATCGAAGATGTAGTATCACATATGCCATTAAAAATAAATATATTAAGTGAAAAACAACTTTACCATAAAACAAATCTGCATGAGAAATAGCTGTGCCACAGCACCATTTCCTTCTATCTCTTAACTAGTAGTCTTTTTCATTAATGAGAATGCCTGTGTTGGCTTTTAATATTCCGCCGATATATAATCTTTTGTTCAAGATCAGATTGTACAGTCTAAGAAAGCCATCCTGGAGCTGCCACAGTCCTGCTCTTCCCCCCTTCTTGCCTCCGTCTTTTTCAGCTTGCCTTTTCTTGTCTGGCAGAGCCCTTTGTTCTTCCTTTGCACAAGCAGAGGGATCTTGCTTCTTTGTTCGCTGTCCTTGCCTGGGAAAAATACCCTAATGGCCAGATAGTCAGAGGCAACCAGCTGCCTCTTCGTTCTCTCCCTTGGGCAACCATACCTTCCCAGCCCTTCTGGTCAAGCGAGCCCCCCTCCCCAGGGCCCCTGCCCAGAGTCGCCACTGCCACCTTAAATGTAGCCTCTTTCACGGAGCATGAGAGCAGGTGGAGTTTCCCTGAGGATGGTGTAAGAAATGCCAACTGCATGGGGCAGCTGGGAGGCATGTGTCACTGCCATGCTCCTATGCCTGGAGTGGGTTTTCCTGCGGCCCAGCCTGGGATCTTCACAGCACCTTAGCCTTGCTTGGCAGCCTTATCAGTGTCTACAAATAAAAGATTATCACTGGGCACAAAAAGTGATGGGGAGGTCACATAAAGCACACGGATTGCAAGTTCGGGATCCTTGCTGGAAATGATAATAAAAGGATAGGCTTTGTAAAGATTAGAAATGATAATCGATGGAAATATATTAAACCTGCAACTGATTATGTTAATGAGAAGTTTAAATGATGAAAAAAGAAAAGATATTACATCCTAAATTGACATAATATCAATGTTGGCAGTTAACTTATTTCAAATCCTGACCACAACAGAAATACATGTAAAATTAAAGTCATCTAGTTTTATCTGAACACATCCAGTAAAAGAGACCCCATTCCCTCTCTACTTGACCCCCAAACCTTTTTTTAGGAGAAAACAGAATAACCTCACAGGGGCTGGCATGCCAATTCTTTTATTCTGAACTTCCCCAAAGAAACCCTTGGTATCCTTTCTAAATTCAGCTTATGTGGCATCCCTGACATCAGCGCTACAATTCAGAGTTACATATTTGTATTTTTTTTCCCTGATTGGTCTCCTCTCCTCTCCTTTTTCTTTTTTCCTCGTGTCCTTATTTGTTTTCAAACCATTAGAAACCACTTTAGCTTTTTCTACTTTCTTCAGTTCTACTATTTTTAGCTCCTTTTCCTAAAGTTCTCTGGCCATGGAGTGCTATTAAAATCCCTTTAAAACAAAGTCTATGATACACATTTAACTATACCCAGTTTTAGTTTTGTTAAAATCAGGAATTCCAGCATGAGGGGGTCACCTTCTACCTTCTTATATTTCCTTAACTAATCAAGCATTTATGATTCTCTTGTACCCTCAGATTGTAAAGGAGAAAACTGTCAAAAAAACAAGTGATGAATTTATTTCTGAAATGCATATTTTAAAAACAACAACCAAAGGACTAATTCTAAAGAAATGACTGCTGGAGGACATTTGAAAAATTTCTCTTGTAAGGAAATAAGCACAACAAAAGCAACAGAAAAGAAACTTTCCGTAATCCTGGTACAAATAAAGAAATAAACCAATTAAGAAATAATTAGAAATAATTTTCTAACATTTAATTTATAATGAGGCAAATTATAGGGACAATGCCTACTCATCATCAGAAATAAAAATAACTTTCAAATAGACATTTAACAATCAAACTACTATCAATTTCCCATCAAAAAAAACTTTCTGTGGCAATATTTCAAGATGAGAGAAATAAAAGACACTAATTTTTTGCTTTTTAGTGTCATCTCAATTGTTAAACCCTTTTTCTCCTCAATTTAATTAATTTTTATATTTTAATTTTAATTAGGGATAAGGAACTCTCCCAGTGCTACAGTATCTTCCAAATGACACCCCCCCCCCCACACAAACCCCAGTCTTTATAGCTTTGGCAGCTCTTCATAATATTTTCCTGCAGCTATCATCTATCTTCCATGAAATATATGCAACTGGGAAAAAAGATGTGCATTATGATTTCTTTAAATAGATTGTAATCTGCAACCTATTGCTTTGGCAAAACTGATATGTTCTTTCGGTAGTTGCATGCTGGGAAGAAAGCGGAGCATTTTGGAAGGAATACCTAAAGAAAAATGTAGCGCTCTCCCCCTTCACTCATACATGTATAGTTTGTTCTCAAAGTAATATAGTACCCTGTATAATATATATATACAGGTTTTTTTTATCCTTGTATTAAGTGGAACTGTAATTCTGGCCATAGCCTGTCAAATTCTCATGGATTCTCTTTCAAATGAAAATCTGTAATATAAAAGAAAAAAAAATACTGCTTGTAGAAGACTTTCCAAACCATAGATTTCCCTATTAGAAATGTGTACCTAAGAGATGGAATGAGTATAGTCAGACTGTTCTTTGAGAGAACAGATTGTCATCCTATATTTGCATCTCTATCTAACTAACTAACATGTATGATTATCTGATACTGGACAAGAAGCTATTACATGCATTTTGGATACCGCTGCTGGTGCAAAATGTGGCATCCAAACTGTTAATTCAGTTTCTTCAGGAATGGGCCAGGATACTGTGACAGCCAGCAGAACATGCTAATATGTGTGAGATTGAGATTGACCCCAGAACTATAGGCATTTGTATGTGTTATTTTTTTCTCATTTTCTGGTTTTTTACATTACGTACTTGGCAAAAAGCGAGCCACATAAATAAAATGCAATACATAATAAAATAAGGAGAGCAGGTTATGTTGGTGACAGGATGCTTACATTGATGGTTCTGCAGCAGGTGCCAATCACCTTCAGGGCACAGTTTAAGGTGTTTACTTTTATTCTTAGGTAACTTGGGATCTGATTTAGTGAGGGGCCACATCTCTTGCTATTTCAATCAGCAGGAATGTCCTTTTTAGAATAAAATAGAATAGAATAACAGAGTTGGAAGGCACTTTGGAGATCTTCTAGTCCAACCCCCTGTCTAGGCAGGAAACCCTACACAAGAGTGAAGAATCCTTTCTGTGGGAAGTTTGCTATCTGGTAGGCAGAAAGGGGTCTTCTTCTCCTTTGAAAATTGTCTTTGAGGGAGGACAATTTGGCCTTCATTGGTTCAGTATTTTGGGAAATAACAAAAACACTTTATTTTATCAGGCTTTTAACTGATTTTAAATGTCTTGATTTTGAGTGTCATTTTAATCATATTGTTTTATTGTAATTTAAATATATCTTGTTTTGTTGGTATGCTTATACAAGCAGAAAACCTAGGTGTAAATATCATAATGAAAATGGGGAGAAAGGTGATGCCTCTTTTGAATTAATCTCTCTCTGACAAAGTACTCTGACTGTTCTCATCCTTCTTTTGCAGGGCCCGGCGGTATCCGATGGAGGTAGGTGGGACATGTGACTGGGTAATGCTATTAGACTTTTGGAGACAGTGTGTAATAATGGCCACAGGATTTTGCTGGCTACTTGGAGATATGCTTGATATTGGAGGTTGATAAACACAGTAATAGGGGATTACCTTTTATATCACCTCATAGTTGAATGTTGGCCCTTTGAACTACATAAAACAACTTTTAGGGGATTAGATGTTAAAACAAATGTTTGACCAAACTATCCTAGGATGCTTGACTGGGGAATAGACCCCTGATTTTATACTGCCATTAGTACTAGGAAGCTATTAAGCTAGAAATTTGTTTTTCACTAATGAGCTGATGAGAATGAACAAATCACCAGTGATAGGAATAAATCAGACCTTTGCACAATATCATCAGGAGGGACAGGAATAAGATTTCCCTTCTCTCCATCGTTCTGTTCAAAATCATGGGGTTACCTGTAGAAAATCAGCTATCTGCAAACAGTTTTTGGAAGAAATGGAGTACCTTGTCATTTTTTCCTTTGTCCCCATGGTTCCTTCAAGATGCTAATGCCTTGCTGCTATTAGCAGGCGGAACTGGTGATTTTGAGCAGTTCCCTGGTCGATGGGAAACAAGGCATCTTGCCTCCCGGAGATTCTGCTTAAAACCTCAGATTTCCAACAATGGGAAATTGATTATCCGCCTACAGCATCTGCCTACAGCAACTCCAGCAAGAGAAATCGCTCATTTGCGAAGACCTCAGGGTCACTCTCCCATAACCAATACTGAATGAAGAATAGATTTTGTAGATGAAGTGAGCTGATGACACTCTGTTGGCCGTTTCAGAAAGAAAAACGTTTTGGCTTACCCTGGTACTTCAATCATTGCCATTTTAGGCAGACCCAAATTCACACCACCTTCCCAGATATGAGGCATCTGAAAAACTTGAAACCTTTCTCTGCTTCACAGAGTTAAACAGCTCTGGCAGCCGGGGTAGTAATAACAGTGTGAACAGTTTGCCGTGCACTCAGAGTGTCCCTCCCTCCCTGGAGCAATCCGTGGCCCGCTGGGCTGAGTCCTTTGAGACACTGCTACAGGACAAGCTCGGTGTGGCATACTTCACTGTGAGTTCCATATCACCTTTCTGTTCCCTTTGGTTTTTCACTGCACATTCTTCCGTTTTTACTATTATTTATTTTTATTTCCCTTCTAAGATGGCATGTATTTGGAGCTGTTTAGAGCTATATGCGTTATACGAGTCTGAAATTGTGCGGCCATATCTCTCCTCTCCAGTCCTTTTAACCTTGAAACAGATTTTCTTTCCTCTCTACTGGTTTGCTAGAGGGTAGAGCTGTTTACTGATGGCTATTTGCTACCCAATACAACTTACCGGTATATGGTGATCTTGCACTTTGGGCAAAGCTAATAATTTGGCTTTGCTTAATGTTGCCTGAATCCTTTGATTTCCCCCTTGTCTGTTCTAGAGTTCTGGACTATGATAATGTTGCAATAGATAGGGAATTGTCCTTTTCTTTCCAGGAGTTCCTGAAAAAGGAATTTAGTGCTGAGAATGTATATTTCTGGAAAGCCTGTGAACAATTTCAGCAGATACCAGCTAATAGCACCCAAAAGGTAAGAATTCTTCTTCTAGAAGAAGGCCAAATTTTGCATTATGTGGACTTACTTTGTGCTAAGAAAATGTATGTAATTCAAATAAGTGTATGTGATACATTTGATCCTAATTTGAATTCTACAGAACATTCAACTTTTTATCTTATTATGAGGTTTGGAATATACTATAAAATGAAGGCTGTGAACCTCATAAAACCAAATTCTGTGTATGATTTATAATTCCCTAATTTCACAAGAGACAGCAATGTGTCAAGGAATAATATAATGCCCCACAGCCTCAAACTGCATAGAACACAATTTTATATAAACAGCAAGCATAACGAGAAGGAGGAGGACAAAAGGAGAGTGATGATTATTTAATATGTTATTTAGGGAAGTAATATTCTTTACCAAAAAACCCCTCCAAATTCTTTAAGATATATTCACTATTGAACCCTGTTGGTTTTAGCTACATTTCCCCCTTTTTCCTTATCATTGGTGGGATGCAGTGTAGAATATTAATTTTCTTCCTTTTGTTATTGGAAATCCTAGTTAACTGGTCTTGGATTTAGATATATTATTATCCCCCTGCTTTTCAAATTTATTGACATATCCATACGGGCACAAATCTTGCCCTTTTTTTGTTCTAAAGCGTGGGGGAGATGGATGGAGGGAAGAAAGGAAGGAACTCTTGTTGAATTTTTCACCCAAACGAATAGCATTGATATTTCTTTATTTTTTGCTGAGAACCATTGAAAGCACACTAACCTATGAGATGAATAGAGCACCCAGATGGTTCTCTCCCTATATTATGTACTTGGGGAGAAAATACAAGCCATTTTGATTACTGCAGCTGCCTGGATATTTCTGTTCTTTGCTATTGTGATTTTGTGATTCTCACTTCGTGTACTTTCTTTGTAGCTGGCTCAGGAAGCTAGGAAGATCTATGATGAGTTTCTGTCGAGTCATTCAGTAAACCCAGTGAACATTGACAGACAGGCGTGGATTGGTGAGGAGATGTTGTCCTCTCCCACTCCTGACATGTTTCATGTCCAGCAACTTCAGGTGAGAACAATCCATGTCCGTTAGCTGATATGCCATGCCAATATAAAAGACATGTTTGTAAAGAAATAATAAAGGTGGAATATAAATAAATTATATAGCTATGAGAAGTCTAGCAGATATGAATTTGATCCCCAATTAGTAATTAAGTACATTTCTGATTCAGAATGTCGTGATTCCTGTTGGATGAAGTAACCTAAGTGCCAAGCTTTAGAGACACTAATGATACTCAACTTTGCTTCTTTCAGATATTCAACTTGATGAAATTTGACAGCTATGCACGTTTTGTCAAGTCTGCATTGTACCAAGCATGTGCGAAGGCAGATAGCCAAGGGCAGCCCTTGCCAGAACTGAGATCCAGTTCTGGCAGCCCACCTACTGAACATAGCAAGGTGGGAAGCCTTTACTTCCAGCTTAGAAGACAGTATGATCAGGAGGGATTTGGGAATGCCACTTAAGCAAGTCCGATAGATCTAGAGCTCTTACACTCTCTGGTTCTCTTTTAGAAAACAAAACTAAAGGCAGGGAAATCACTGCCGTTAGGAGTGGAGGCAGCTGGTAACCTGGCCGGGAGAAGTCCTCGGAGATCCTTTCGGAAAGGAGACCGGAGGGATCGTCCTTGGGGAGGTGAGTCTAGAACTGAAAGTAGGGATACAGTTGAAGGAGGTGGCAGAACACAATGATTAATTATTGGCCAAGTATTCTTCAAAGTCTTAACTCCTTGCTAACTATCTGTCCTAGAGGAGAGAAATGGTGGTGAGGGACCATCCCCCTGGCGTGACTCCCAAGGCTCTTTGAATTCCTCAGCTAGTCTGGACCTGGGCTTCCTATCTTATGCAACCAGTGGCTTGCAGGCAGAGGTGAGTGGTGTTTAGCTAGATTTTGAGCTGCATCTTGTGAGAATATTCTCTGCTCTGTTTGTTGCAATGTGGGCGCTTGGCTCTTGCTTAAACAGTATGCCATGCCTGTTACATCATAGGTTCTACCCAGCCCCCACACTCTATCTATAATAGGCTATGACTGTGCTGTGTGGAGGAGTTCTCTACAAAGTAGAGATCTCTGCAATTGCTGCTGAGAGCATGCTGGTATTTTCATGGCTGTATCCCCTCTCTCAGCCTCTCTCAAGGTTGCCCTACCTTGAAACTGTTGAAAAGTTGTTGTTTAGAATGCCAGGGGGAGTCCCAGTTGGTAGGAAAGCAGCCCTTCTCCTGAGCATCATGGCCGATAAAATAAAAGTGGAGAATGAAATTATCCAGAGGAGAATACCACTAGCAAATAAACCCCCACCCAAGACAATGTGCTTAGTAGGGACAGTGGAGTTTGGCTAATGTTAGGGCTACATAATGGAAGCCACTTTGTGCTCTTTGACACAGCATCTTCCTGCTCTGTTTCCCAACCAAATCCCTCCACATTATTGGGAAGACAGCCATTGATTGCTGACCTTGAAATACTGAAGGGGACATTGAGATCACCATAAATCAGCCAGTGTTCCTTCCAGTTGACTAATAGCAGGTTGTCATCATTCAGTCAATGTTCTGCCCTGAGCTACTGTTGCTCTTCCCATCATCAAATTTCTTTGTGCATGTACACACAGACCCACATACAGTACAGCCTCCCATGTTTCTAGCATGTTTTGTGCATTCTGGCCCATTGCCCAATAGACTGTGCTCCTATTATGAGGGGAAATCTTCCTGGCTCTCTCTCCCCAGTTTTCTACAGTCAAGGCCCCAATGAATGGAAGGAGATGGGAGCAGTGGCAGGAATTTGGTCAACCTGGGCTTGAATGCTTCTGCTGCTATCATAGCCATGTAGATATCTACAAATCCATTCTCCAGGCAGGCAAAGAAGAAGGATAAAGCAGTGGTAGGGCTGTCACAGTGTCAGATGGCAAAAGGTAGGTGACTGAGCAGGAACATGCTTATCAGGTGTTGCCAGTATTCCTGCGGGTCCCACTCCATCATTCTTTGTTAGCAATTTATTCTGTTACCCACTCACACCGCTTGTTTCCCTCCCACCCCAATGGGGCAAGTGAAAGAGGCAATTCTATGGTCACAACTCCTGTTTTTGCCACTGATTTTTTTGCTGCTTGCTTACTGTTTCTTCTCTGAGCCCCAGAAGGAATGGTGGACAACAGGTTATCCATATACTATAATTTGAGAAAGAAAAAGAGTTAAGTTCTACCTTTGTTCCAGTTTTTAAAAAAAAGCACAAACACATTTTGGTGCAAGAAAGATGCTAACTTTGTTTTCCAAATATATTAATTTTACATTGTGAGACAAATCCATAACGGTCTCTGGAAGGGCCAGAGATGCCAGGTAGAGCCCTATACAGTCGAAGTCTTTTGCTCCTTGGTAGTGGGTGGTTATTTTTTTGAATCATGTGTACCATGCAAATAAAGCCTAAAACATTCTACATGATAGCTCATTGAAATAAGTTTGCCCACAGAGAGGTACACCTCTTGAAGCTGAAACCAAATGCTTCCCACTGTCTAATAAACAGATTATCTGACAGATCCATGGTTTTACAGCAAGTGACACAGTATGTTGATTTGGCAGAATTCTGGCTGAATTACTTCAAACTGCTGGTGGAAAGAAAGGAACATTTCAATTCTGTTCTCAAAATGGGAAAATGTGCATATTTGCATAAAGTGTAATTACCATGAGATTCACTGCCTCAAGATTCAGTGCCAGCTGCTGGCTTCCATGGTTTTATAAAGGAATTATATATGCTGGCTGGTACAAGAGCTCCCAATATTGTTTTCAGTATTTCTAATTGCTGAGGAATAATAGGAAATAGGTCATGCTTATTGAGTTCATTCAAGCAATGTTATCTGTCACACTATATAAAGTGGGAATATCTGGACCATTGTTTTTGATACATCAGGGTTTCTATAATACTAGATGTTCTTCTTGATGTGCAAGTTTTTTTCACCATGTTGCTTCAAATTGCCAAAAAATCATAAAGGAATTTTCTTTAAAACTCCATCTTTACTGTGGCCCAAAGTCCTACTATTATATCATTCTCTCACTCTGTAGAGAAAGCAATTGAGAGAAGAGTTTTGATTGATTATGTGCCATCAAATCATTGTCAGCTCTTAGCAACCATATATATAGATTTTCTCCACAATAATCTGCTCCTAACTTGGTCTTTTGGGTCTTCCAACTGCATAGGAAGGGGGCGGGGTGTCATATAATTATTTAAATTGCAGGTTTGGCTAAAAGTCCCTCACCAAGCTCACACCTTCCATAAGTGCATGCATTGATAGATATACAATATTAATGATCTTTGATCTCAAGTCATTGTCTGTTGTGGAGACTACACTTTCAGGTTAAGGTTGTAGTAGGTTAGCAAATGGAACTGAATGTGATAGGTTCTCTTCTCTACAGACCCACAGGAAGAGTCTGACAGGCTCAGAATCTGACAGTCAGAACCATCCCATGAAATATTGTTGCATTTATCTGCCTGATGGGACTGCATCACTGGCTCCAGTACGCTCTGGCCTCTCTATCCAGGAGATGCTGGCTGGAGTTTGTCAGCGTCGCGGCCTCAATTTACCTGATGTAAAGATCTACCTAATGGGAAATGAAAAGGTAGGTTCAATTTGTTTCAGGCAAAAAGGAAACATTACTGGAAGAATAGTAATTTAGAAACCTAAAAGAAAGGGATTTCTCTAGGTAAAATTTAGATGGGAGCGTCTGCAATCTCTCTCAATATATACCATGGTGACATTATAATTAAAGCTGTGAATTCAGAAGTTGTAAACAGAAAATCTACTGTGCTTACAAATTCAGTTTAAGCCAATTTACTTGTAACCTCCACATGCAATGTTTATCTACTTATCTAATTTAATTGAGAAGAAATTGGGCTTTGAGTGTAAATTTGGGTAATTCTCTGTTGGATTGAGAGTCCACTGTTGTTTGGCTGAGCTTTCCCTGAAATTTTTATTTCTTAGTCCTATGCAGTAGGGCCAAGGAATATTGGCCCTCAGAGATTGTCCATCACAACTTCTAGTATGCTTCACCATTGGCCATGCCGGTTGGGAGTACTAGGGTGTTTTATTATATATATATTATGTAACCTTTATTTCTATCTTCTATAGCTTCTAATTGCCTGGTTGGCTTATGAAAATAGGTCACTGGTGTCCCTTTTAACTAGAGATAGTAATTATATTCTCTATGTATCTATCCATGTAGCACATATTGTTAACAAGCCAAATAAATAAATATTCTTCAAATGAAATTGAGTTCATTGTAGAAAGTATCTTATGTCTAGGCTTAAATTGGGATATAGTTTCAGCATTTTTTAGATTCATACAGCTTTATTGTTTTTCCTCTTTGAAAGGGTTAGAGAAAAATATACCTATCCATACTTATAGTTAACATATCCAACCTGATTGTACATTAAGTTTTTCCAAGGCATATTTATATTGGGCAAGTAATTTTTAGTTCACGAATGATTACAGAATGTGCATATATTGGGTGAAATCAACAAGCAATTTCAATTTTCAAAGAATATTAGTATCAAAATATTCCTGATTAATAATATTTTATCTATTCCTTTGTTTAGAAACATTTTCATTCCTACCACAATTAAAAATATCTCTCCCCAGTATTATTTGCAGATTTCTTAAAAGCTATTTTCCCAGAATTGCATCACTGACCTTAATAATTTCATACCAATAGTCCTTGACTT